CATTGTTTCTACAGCGTTTCGGCTTCCGCCCCCTGTGATGATTATGTTAATAGAATTGATCACTGGTATGCATATATCATATATCTGTTCTAAGAAACTAGCAGCTGCGCTGCGAGAGATCAAGAATCGGGCGGGGGACGCTGCATCCCATTGCCTCCCGTGGCCTCCCATTGCCTCCCGAAGCCTCCCGTCGTCTCCCATTGCCTGCCCTTGCATCCTGTGGCCTCATAATGCCTCCCGTTGCCTCCCTCCCGTTGCCTCATGTTGCCTCCCATGGCCTCATGTTGCCTCCTGCTGCCTCCTGTGACCTCCCGATGCCGTCACTATCCCCATCCCAATCCATGCTACCCTATCCCTATCCCTATCCCTACCCTCATCCCTATATCCCTATCCCTACCCTCATCCCTATATCCCTATCCCTAGATCCCTAAATGCATATCCCTATCGCAAGCCCTATCCCTACCCCTATCCCGATCCCCGCGTCGTGCCCCCTGGCCTTGGCCTCCAATCGTGGCCCCCCATCGTAGCCGTGTAAAGCTGTGAAGGGCCTTCTGCAGCACGGGTGCCATTTGTTTAATGTTAGGTCGGGCATGTCCCCCTACAGGGGAATTTTAGACAACAAGAAATATTGAACAACAAATAATCAAAAAGTATCACACAAAAAACGTCCCTTGACTATTGTTTAATCTATGTTTGAATAGTCCTCCTGTAGAGGGACAGGCCCGATTTAAGTTGAATACGGGGTCCCCTGAGCTCTGGACCACTCTGAAGGTGCCCAGGGACACACAAATGATCAGACACAAATGCCAGGATTCCCCATAGCTTCAATAAGCTCCTGGATGTTCGTCTTCCCCTCCATTCCCCATGGTTTCCCGCATGTTCCCGAGAATCGAAGTTTAGTTGTGTTTGTGCGTTTTCCCCTCCTGACACTTCCCAGGGACTGATTTGTCGTCCCCGATCACTTTGGGACGGTCCTGGGGCCCAGCGAGGGCCCGCAGATGCCGAAATCGACGGCGAAACGGGAGGAGGCTCAAGGGGAAGGGGGAAGAGGAAGGCAGGGAAGGAGGGAGTGAGGGAGGCACAGGGCGTCCATTATGGGGGAGACTCCACCTGCTCGGAACAGGCGCCAAAAACAGCCAAGATCTACTCCATGGGGGGGAGGGGAGTGCGAGGGCCCGCGCCGATCGGCAAAACAATGAATCAGAGAATGGTCACAGGTGGAGTTGGAGCTGGAGGCAATAGGAGGTAAAGCCTGAAACTGGTTGTAGTCGAACTTCGTGTGCATGTACACGATGTCGTTCTTGGTCACAGGCCGGGAGCAATATCTTTCGCGGAAGGGGGGGTGGCGGGGAGACCTCCAACGGCAGCGACCCATCCCCCCTCCAGCTCATCTTCTCTCACCTTCTCTTCCTCTCTCCTCCTGGACGCAGCGAACTCCCTTGCGCCGTCAACCGCCACTCGAAGCAAGGAGGCATGCAGTGGTGGGCGGAGCCACTCGAACACCTGCGCCACCGCCGACGCCCACGCATCGGCCGACCGAGAGCGCAGCTGGCCTAAAACACGACCGGTTCAACCTCCTCCTCCTCCTCCTCCTCCTTCTCCTCCTCCTCCTTCTCCTCCTCCTCCTTCTCCTCCTCCTCCGAATCATCATCCTGCGCATGTTGCGGTGCATGCCTAGGTGGTCGATCTCTGGGACTCGACCTGACGGTGACCTCGCGTTGTACTGCTAGGGGTGGTGTTTCAGCAAACTGTCGTAGTGCTTCGTATTGGGCAACTGTCTCTTGTTGTTGAGGTGTGCTGACGTATTACGGTGTGCCGCCCGCAGGTAGTGAGTGAGCTTTCGTAGCTAAACCCCGCTTCGGTGTGTGGTGCTGTGGGGTCCTTGTAGTCTGAGGTGTTCCAGAGTGTACCTCTGTTAGCGTTAGTGGTGTGCCTTGTAATGAGTCGACTCGAACTGGTGAATTATATCGTGTTGCAGTGGTGGAGTGTCTTTGAAGTGTTGTATTGATATGACGGTCGTGCTGTTCTGCGATGTCAAACCACCCTCCGCATTGACGATGTCGTCGCCGATGATACCTGCCACTTCGTCCTGTAGTCGTTGTCAGAATGAGGGGGTCGAACGGTCATTCATTGTCCCTGGGTGCACGGCGTGGCTGCATAAAGAATTCGTGGTGAGAATACTGCTTGTTGCGTTGTTGTTGTTGATTATGTTGTTGTTGCTGTTGAATACTCACTTCTAAAGAATATGTTTCGTTGATCTCGGGAAACGATTCACCGCGCTCTCGCCTCGGCTACATTTTCTCTGCAAACGAGGCACCTGCTCGAGCGTTAGCTTGAGCCTAAATGTGGGCCCTTGGAGGCCCAGCTACGACAACAACGGCTCCCGCTCGATACTGCTTCACAATTTACCCCGAGACACCCTGACCAGAAAGGCCCCCGAACTCAGGAACGGCGCTCTCTCTCTCGAGACTTCCCCGTAATTCAAACAAGGGGGTGGAGGCCCGAACACGGCGACGAGGACTCCCGTTCGATATCTCTCCATAGGTATTCCGAGAGCCCCTGGCCAGCGAGCCCCCCGAACTCAGGAAAGGTGCTCTCGCTCGAGACTTCTTCGCACTTCAGTCAATGGCCGACAAAATCCGACAAGGAAGAGATTCCCCCCGAAAGGGGATGCAATCGAAGGTGAAGTGGGCGGGTATCGAGGCTTGATATACGGAATGCAAGACATGCGTGCCAATAAAAGCGAACAGTCTTAAAATGATTGTTGTTGTTGAACTCTCACTTCTGAAGAATAATTATTGTTGATCCCCCCCACCCGGTGCACAGCGTCTTTGTTCAATTGAAGTGCCCCTCCCGGAGCTCGCACCCTGCTTTGTAACAGGAAAAATCTTGAGGCTCAAACTGTGTCGTTGGCCCCTGGTTTACAAAAACAAATGCTCCCGCCTGATGCTTCCTCACAAGTTATTGAAGAATCGCGCTCTCGCTTAGAACTTCCTGGCTATTTACCACCGAATCGCGGCTCCCGCCTGATACTTCCTGAAAATGTATTGCAGACTCGCGTTCTCGCTTGGGACTTCCTCGCAACTTACCACCGAACCGCTTCGCTTGATGTTTCTTCACAATCTATTCAGATGCCGGTCCTCGACACTCAGGAATCGCGCTCCCGGAGCATATTCCCTGGCGGTTCAAGCAGGACTCACGCTTCAACGACCCGCCCGTCGGGGCCTGCCCGCCCAACAAGCCCGTTAATGACTGCAGTCGCCGCTCGCTGCCCTTCGCCCGCTTTCGTTCGCTGCCCTTCGTGGCCCCGTTGCTGCCCTCAGTGGCCCCGTCGCTGCCCTTTGTGGCCCCGTATTATATGCCCTTCGTGGCCCCCGCTCGCTCGCGCCCGTCGTGGCCCCATATGCATGCCCTTCGTGGCCCCGCTGTCGCACTTTGTGGCCCCCTCGCTGACCTTCGTGGCCCCGGTGCTGCCCTCAGCGGCCCCGTCGCTGCCCTCTGTGGCCTCGAGTTTATGCCCTTCGTGGCCCACGCTGGCTTTTCTCACGATTTACTTGGGAATCGAGTTATCGCTCGAGACTTCCTCGCGATGCATGCAGGACCCACGATTCAGCAACCCGCCTGCTCGACCTCGTCGCCTCGGCCCGCCTCCCCGACCTGCCCGCTATGGGTCTGCCCACCCGATTTGCCCGTCTAGCTCTACTACTTGTTTTCTGCTGCTTGCCCCCCTCCTGCTAATTTCTCTCGCGGTCCATTATTATCCCTCCCCCTTCCACCCGTCCTGTCTTCCCTTGTTTGAGGGACTGCACTAAATACACGTGGCAGGTAAGGAAGACATACCCCCAAGGGGGTACGATCGAAGACGACGAGGGCGGGTACCGAGGATCTGGGCTATACGTATTGACTGGCACGTGAGCAGATGGGAGCGAACAGTCTTACAATGTCCCGTCGTTGAGCGACTCCCTGGGCCTTCTCCCCTCACCCCAGCGTCTTGTGTGGGATTGGGGGGGATGCATCGGAGGGGACTTTCTTCGAGGGGGGGTGTGGGGAACTGATGGGTCAGGAGGTAGGTTTTCTGGAGACTGGAGGCTCAGGAAATGCGCATGGTCGTTCGTGCATCTCGGACCAGACAGCAGAATCGACGCTACTAGGTGTGGATCCCTGCCGAGCGCGCGTCAATCTTCATCGAGAGCCGAGCTGTTTGCGCTCATCGAGCTCTTGCGTGCTCGCGTTGGAGATGTGCGAGTTGTTTGTGACTGTCTCCTCGTCGTGAAAGGTGTCAGAAAGAGCCTCCGAGCTAAACATAAACCTAGTATGTTAGACCTCTGGGCCGAATATCACCGTGTACTGTCTGAACGAGGGGGTTCACTCCAACTGATCTGGACCAAGGGACACACCACCCAAGCGCAGGCCGAGAGGATGTTTTTGTCTGGTGTAGAGATGTATCTGAACAAGGCTGCTGATCGCTTCGCCGACTGGGCCGCTGAGAAGGCCCAGTTGAGCGAAGCTTGCGTTTCTCAGGTTTTGCGTGCCGATGGGCTAGCTTTGCAAGTTTTGAAAGAATTCTGACCATCCAGCGCGAAATGTTGTTTTCCTCGGACCGTGAAGGGGTGGTCTCCGCGAGCCGCAGCGAACTCGCGGGAGGGCCACCTCCCTATCCGAGCGGATTCGCAGATTGCGAGATGCAGGGCATGACCCTGATGTCCTGAAGGCCTGCATCAAGTGCAGGCGGTGTGGTTCTGGCTACAGTCTCAGAGGACAGCTCTCGGGTTTTGGCCCATGTCGTGCAAGCCCAGAAGCATCATCCAGCAGCGCGTTCAGCTGCTGGGGCCGCGGGTGGAGAGGGGCGACCCAG